CATAGTTTCCACTGGAGTGGCGTAGCGGGCGACCATTCTCAAGATCCCATTCGGTGACGGCTGTGGAGTATCCAATGCTAAACAGACGCAGTTTTCCCGGTAATTTGGTGCCATCGGGCCCGTCCTCCTGGGGATCCAGAGTCCATGCAAGTCCTTCGATGCTTCTATCTTTGCCTCCACGCATCACGGTTTCCTGGAACCAGGCGCCGCGCATCGGGTTCCATATTTCAATATCACCGTTCGCACGACCGATCGCGAGTCTAAGGGTGGGTACGCCACGTCCAGCTAAATCTGCTGACGGGGGATGGGAGAATGCAAGTGCATTGATTGCCTGTGGGTTATAAGAAACGAAACGGCAACGGTGGATATCCATGATTGAAGATGTGGGCTTCGAAGCCTGAGAGCTCGTTTCGGATGGTTTTGAACGGTGTGCAAATCAGAAATGGGGGGTGCTGAAGATCAATTCAGAAATAATTCAGCTCAGGCTGTAGAACCAGCCTTTAGACAGTCATCTCTTAAGCACAAGGGGTGATTATAACGTGGTGCCAAAGCTTTCCTTGCAACTGTTGCGCTGCCGCTTTTTTTTTCTGTAGATAATTTTTAGCGGCCGGAATATCTTGGCTAGTCGGGAATGTTTCCCCGAAATCACGTGTGGGAATTCGAATATCCTGGTGCCTTATGGATCGGGCGAAAATATGAATAACTATACAACATACAACATAAGGAAGAAGAAAAGAAGAAAAAAAAGAGGAGGGCCCCCAAACCCACAATCCTCCTCCATTGGGACCGCAAACCCCCTTCGATTGGTCCCGGCCAATTACCTAGGGGTATGACGGGTTCTTCTATCTACTCAATGATCAACCTTTAGAGTGCATAGCGACCTTATGAACTGGCCCCGAGGTCATGAAGCCCAGAACCTATATACTACTCAGCATCACACGGTAGACTTCCGAGCGCCATTCCACTACGCTGGGCAGGAGTGGGTTTGGAGGTAACAACACATCTCTTAAGTGACCTAACTGATAGTCTCGATACTTAGCTTTCTCCACTTCGTCGGGATGCCAAATCTTCAATGATTCGAATTCATACATATCTTACGTTCCATATACCAGTATTTTGCCTTTTTATGTTCTTTATTACGTTCGTTCCATTCTTTTTATATGCCATGTCTCCGACAAAATAAGATTTTAGCGAAACGTGACAGTTAAATCCTCTTTCACGTGCCTATAATGTATCAAAGTAAAAGTTCATCCTTAATTCGCCCTTGATCCTATCATAATTCGCCCTTGAAGTTATGATATCAGCCTTTGTAGGTCAGTGGTAGACTGTTCCACTCGTAGTCTATCCAAGACTTATAGATATGGAGAGGTCCACGGTTCGATCCCGTGTAAAGGCAACTTTATTTTTTATTTATTTTCTAAATAAATAGTATTCCTTTAAAATACAGAAAGGGAAGAGGAGCGAGCACATATCTGTTTTGGACCGAGACTAACAGTGGAAAACTGGTAATTGTGAAGGAAAAAAAGGAAATGCCATTTATGTCGCTCAAAATTTGTCCCTTTGGCAAAATCCGAAATTTTGTTCAACGCCCTTAACGAGCAAATTACCAATTAGAAATAGCAAGACGATCAAAGCCATACATACTAACTAGTTAGTAGTTTACCTCTGCTGGACCACTTTCATGAGTATCCTGGCATTGTATATTGTTCTCATATCTAATTATAACAGGAATTCAAGGTAATCATGAAGCTTCTCTTCTCCTAACATCATGAATTTTTTGAATGTATCATCCTCTTTGATACTCGACCGCCCTTTTCATCGGTCTTTGTTGGCGTTTCTGAATTAAAATGAGATATGTCAAAATATCAAATAAGCCCTTATAGCTCAGTGGTATGAGCGCAGCACTTGTAATGCTGAGGTCCGTCGTTCGATCCGGCGTGGGGGCTAAAAGCAGATATCTTTTCTTTTTTGCGGTTCACCACAATTCGCATATCCTAAACGCTCAAGTGGGATGTCCGGCGTTAGGGCATTTTTTTTCTGATTTTTTTTTTTGGCACTGCAGAGCGAGGTTTAGATATCGGGCATGGATGGAGCGGCGAAATGTGGGGGTCTACATACCGTTCGATTCCCCCTACCTAGGATGAATTTATTTTATACTATTTTACTACATATATATCCAATGCCACACACGCCCTATAGTTATTCAGTTCTGTGCATTTCAAATCTCCTACTCAATGGGCTTCTACCCAAGGGCTTGATCGGTCAATTACTTACAACTTAAGCTTCCACGATCAAGCGCATATATATTCATGTATTCAAAATAATCATTTAGAAGGGAGATAATCTTTTTTTTTTTTTTTTTTGGCAACTAAATTATTGCAAGGGTAAATTACTCCGTCCATCGTAGAACGCCACCTGCTCTTCTTTCGTCTCAAACATTTGTGGCGAAGCTCCATAATCATCACTGGCTCTGTCTGTGAATCTTTATAGAGTAGACCATTGTAGGTAACAACCAATGACAGAGTTATGTGGTTATGTGCCGGTGACATATAAAAACACACCTAATTGACAGAATTACTTTTAGCCACAGCGATCTCATTAGAAGACCAATCTTGTCCTCTGTAACCATGTAGTCTTGGAGTTCTTGAAGATCAAGATCCTGACCACGGATCTCTTTGGCTTGCTTAGCAATCTGCTTAGCACCGCCGGCAACCTGGTTTTCTGGCAGTTCGATGTAGATGGTTTCCTTGATATCTGCATTCAAGAAGGCAGTTTTGATATCCACATGGTGGAGAAACCAATTCAAAGCTGCAGCAATTGCGCAGAAAACTTCGAAAGACATGGGTTTTGCAACCACGGCATAAACCTCGTGGAAATCAACGTCTTTGATCTGATTAAATCCACGTGCAACCAGGCGGGCTTTGTAGAGGCTTGTGTCTTTCTTGGTGTCGAAAGCCAGCGCAAGGTAAGCGGCTTGCGGCTGGTCTTGTTTGTCTTTCGATCGACTGTCTTCCAGGTGCCATTCTTGATTTGCGCTTTTAATTCAATGTGCGCAGCAGTCAACCATTTCTCTCGTTCAACGCAGTTCACAGCGTCAACCCATTCATTGGGTATGTAGCCGACGTCACGCGGTGTCAACTTGTTGTTAATTGGAACGGAATCTTCAATGTCATCGTCTATAGCAGCTTTGTTGTCTATGGCAGCTGCAAAGACAGACAGGATAGCTTCATTCATCTGATCAGCAAAGACAGCTGTCTCAGATGGATCCAAGCCGGCGCAGTGAGCAGCCAGGTGCTCCAACATAGCTCGGCTGGGCTTCCGGATCCTAGTTGAACGGCGTAGTGGCGGTTGATCAGTCAGCGGCTGTTGATTATTCACGTTTGTTATGAACGTTCAAGCACCAAAGCTGCAACAGAGAATAGAACGTCCACGTGCTGTGATCGACCATATCAGATTGCAGTCCGTCTCATGCCAGTGCCAGGGCATAGTCACAGACAGCAAGATCAAGTTCAAGCCAGTTGTCTGGGGTCGAGTATATGATAGACTCGGCATCAAGTTTCCCTTTGCGATGTTCTTAGACCACCGTCGCTCCGATGGCTCTGTGGTTTCAGGCCGCAGAAAGACCCTAGCCTGGCTGGAAAGCCTGCCGATGGACCACGCCAACCAGTGGTATTTCTGTTGTGAATTAGCCGGGATTTTACAATTTAACCTTCCTGTTTACGACGTCGAGAAACCCGATGATCGTCTGGCTTGGCAAAATAAAATCATACAAGATATCGCCCCCAAAAAGTCCTACACAAGTTTCACTAATAAGCTGCCGCCGATGCCTCACCCTTAACCTAGCGGCCAAGAGATCTGCCAATTTTCTTCAAATTCAATTCAGATTCACTTCAGATTCACTTCTGATTTAATTTACTTTAGAAGTCCCTTATGCCCATTTTAGAAGACATTAGTTTTATTAGGCATCTTTAAGCATCGGCGTCAATTAATTACTACAACATAGAGTAGATCTAAATTACTGCTGGCAATATGAACCAATGTGAGAGTTATTTCTCGGGTGGCATACTTAGTCGCCCGTAGCTCTGTTTCTGATTTGAAATGTGAGTATCTCCTGGGGTCGACTAGTCCCTAGATATATATCATGGCATCGGATTCAACCTTAAAGTATACACTTGTACAGGACGAGATGGACACATATAGTTGTAAATTCAAAAGGCACATACAATAGCCACTATATATCCAATGCACCTTAATCGCCTAGCAAAGAAAAAGGGGGGGGTTTGGAACATTGTATTTGTGCAACACCACGAACGTTGTAGGATATCTTCGAATCCCCTATTGCAACTCACCGTCACAGAAAGAGATGAGTGAATTGCAAATCGACCAACCGATAAGAAGCGGTCAACAACCCTACCGTCCGAATATTGATTAGGAAGCAATCACCGATCAGCAATCTGACTTGGTCGTGTTGCAGTCTTGATCAGGGGTATGCCGCGACACCATTGGATATCCGAGCAAGTTTCGTAAGTGTAAACTAAACACTCGGGTTGAAGCCCAGTTTTAAATTTTAGTGGCGTGGCATGAGCTGCATTGTGCTCTTCGAGACCATTGTATATGGAAATACAATGCCAGATGTAAGGGAACCAACGGGAAATCTGCCCCGAAAATGCAGGCTCAGCTGAATCTGCCAGCGCGAGTAGAGTAGAGTAGACATATTGCGCCACGAACAACGCAGCCTGTCAACCAATAGTAACATGCAATCGCGAACGGGTGCGACAAATTCCTATCAGATAAAGGGGTAGAGAGTGATAGTCTGCCACGTCAGAAGCAACCATCATTTTTTTAGCTTGTCGTCGTTCGTTGTGGCTGATTGGAAGTAGCCTGTTATGCTTGCTTATGTATCGGACTTCTGAGATACTTGCAGGTATACTCTCTGATAGGCCGTGGCTGTACTTGGCTCTGCAGCGGACAATCCACATCTAAAACGCCATGACAACATATCACTGGACGAGCATGAACGAGCTTTCAGACATGGGAGGCTGAGATGAATTACCGCATTGCCATTGGATAGTCTCGAATCCAAGTGCGAATAAGGCAACCTCGGCCAGACCGGTGTATGACATCTGCTGCGGGGGGCCTGATAGAACAGTTCGAATCAACCTTGGGTCTTTTGCAATTTCGAGTGTGCGTTTTCCATGTTTCCATGCCGCCTTGAAACACTCCAAGGAGAGAATATCCTTAATTGTGCGGGTTGCATGGCGGGATTCCACTTGGTTACAGGCAACAGCTGCGGGGGTGGCCATTGGAGACACCCTGTCAGCATGGGCTCGGACCCAACTTCGGGCGCATTGGATCGATAGTTCGCTTGTGTTTTGCTGATATTAGGGAAAATACACTTGCCCGGTCATTTCATTATTGATTTGAATGATCACGTTCGTGTTGTTTTTTTTTTTCCGGTACAAAGTACTCCGTACGGAGTAACCTTTGATCTGTTTATCCTCCGGAATTGTGGTTGGCTTTGAGGGGATTGGCGCGACCCCGGCTCATCGAACTTAATTAGATTGTTCCTCGTGTGCTTGTGCTTGATCTATTTTCATAGGAGGCTGGTGCAAGTTAGGTCCACATATGTGTATTGTATCCAGCTGAGATGGACCGCGATCTTTGAGGACATCCCGTCCACGGTAAAACTCTTCGGCAGACTCGATAACTAGTTAACTAGTTAATCCGTATGTCGTACATTGTACCTAGGCGACATGGAGGATATTATTTGTCGAGCCGGTAACCCCTAATTGCGCCTCGTGGAATCGCGTGCTGCTGCGCCAGAGATGGCGAGGTCATAGACAACCTTGGAAGGCTAGTGAACTTATATTTTGTAGTTCACGATTGGCCCCAATTTGGCTTTCATCCCACCTTCCCCATTGGACCCTACTTGCCAGAGTTGTTTGGATTTACCTCGGATAACAAAGATACCGGATCGGCAATATGAACATAATGACAATCTGAAATGATGTTCGCGCCAAGATAGAAAGCAAATTGTCTCGTTAAGCAGAAGGTGACCGAGCGGCCGGCTGCATGTGCCTTTTTCCAGGCCCACTATACTTCGTACAAGCAAAATCAAACCACATTCTGATCTGAGATATATTATTGAGGGAGAGCAGCAATTGATTGGAAATTTTGGATCCCATTTTGGTACATCTTTCGCAAATTTTGGTAGATTGCACTATGAAGCGAACGCGCAATATGGAAAGCCAGAAGTGTGGGACGCGAACCTGGCAATGACGATATAGACTAAACTATGTAACGACGCCGAGTATCACTAAGGTAAGAGAGACATGGAAGTTGGTTTATAAGCGTTCTTTGGGGTTGAGTTCGAAGGTTTCGAGTTACCGTGGAGGTCGTAAACGTTTGGAATAACTCGGGTCAAGGCAACAAAGTACAAATTTCAATTTATCCTCTTTCGGACAGCCTTACATTTTGTATGTTGTATGGTTATGTTGTACAGTACCCGGTACATTGAAATTGTAAAGCTTCAAAGTGGATCTTTTTTCTTTCCTTACACTACGGGTATTCTCCACTCTGTTTTATGCCCTAAGCCCCGTCAGGTTTAGCGACGTAATGAATAGCCTTGCAGCTCCAGTTACCTTTGCCGTCTGAAAAAAAAGTCTGGCTAGAAAAATGACCGATAGAGTATGTCGTAGGTCAATTGATCCGGTTTGGAAGGATTGCAATACTATCCCGTAGTTCTAGTCTATAAAACTAGTCGAATTGTGGTAGACAGTGGCAATTTCAATTTGAATTGAAAGAAAGCTAAAGAAAAAGGGGCGGGGAATAGGGGAGTGAAAAAAAACAGTCTAACCATGGTTTGAGCCTCCGGTGCCCCAGTCAAGCTGTGTATGTTGAACCTTTCCTAAAGGGGGCCATATTGTCTTGAATCCTTGATCCAGTCCGTGTGGCGAATAATAATTAGCATCGTCCTTATTCGTGATGGAGTTTCACAGCCATTCTGTAGGACACAAGACAGAAGAATCAATTCACAGCAGCCTTGAGAAATATCTATTAATGTTTAGAGGAAGGGAAGAAACTAGAAACACGCAAATGACTACCGTATCGAGGCCATGTCGGAAATTAGATGTACGTAAATCCGAGGTAGTACTTCACACGGAGTGACTACTAACTAGTTGCCGGGTTTGCGAGCATTTCATATGAACTTCATGCACCTCGTCCACTACCCAGAAAATTTCTCCAACTTAAGGACGAAGAAGGAGAGGAAAAAAAACCTGTGTAGTGGAGCTGTTTCTGCCAAACACAGAAAAACCTTTGTGACATTTATATAACTCCCCGCAGAGGGGCCACGAAACATCAAATTTTCACCGGTCAAGAATGCAGCTTTTTGCCCGATACATACAGAAATAAATATGTATGTGGAATTTCGCTACGATATACAACCGAAGAGTCTCCGGAATCCAATGTATTCGGATATCTAGACAACAATTTAGTGCCTATACGGAGTACAATTATAGGCTAAGAGATATCTAAATGGTATTTAAGGTTCTAAGTTTAACTAGAAATCATAACTAGCGATGATGAATTATAGCCACCAGAAACCTATCTGAGAAACATAGCCACAAATTTCAACCTCTTTGTGCGTACGGTATCCGCATTATCCGACAACAGCCACAGTTCCGCCACATATTCTTTTCACATTAAGACGAATGGTGGAGCGGAAAATTGTCAGATATAGCGGGGCGGAAGAGAAAATTGTATGTTGTACTCGCGCATACGTATAACATACATTATACATACATTAGAACCATGTAGCAATAGAAACTAGATGGTGAACAGGAAAGAAAAAGCGGTGGGGATTTCGATCTTTTCCAATACTACCATGGTTGATACATCCCGGCACGGCCCTGGGATAACCGTTGTTGAAGGTGGAGTTTGGGTTACCGTCCACAGGTACTGCGTACTCGGAATTGGCGTTGATACCATGGTTCAGCAAGCGTGTGATGTCGGAGGGCATTGTGGAATGGATCCATCTGCGAGGCGAGAAAAAAAAAAGACCGGATCCCACACATACGTTTTTATCGGGTTCTTTGCTAGGTTTTTCTGTGGGCTGTATCATACTAGGGTGTTTTTGTATAGACTGCAAGTCTCGGGAACTTGGTCTCTAGATACGGAGTACTCTGTATGGAGTATGAAATGTATCCATATGGGATATCAAGTATGAATGAGATAGATGGTGCCTGTATTGTGTGTATAGAATGCATATAGTATCCACTTAAAAATGATTACCTTATACATCAGCGATGATATTTGAATGTAGAACATTTAGCTGGTATATGATTTGATGAGATATCTAAATATCCAGTCCACACCGCTCTCAAACAAACGAGTAATGTCTACAAAAGAACATTGATCTACATTGGAAGCAGAAATCCGAGATGATGGTTTGATGCCTCGTTAGACTAATGAACTCCCTGTATACTCCGTATGCTGTACGGAGTAGTACGGAATACAATATGTATAGTGGAAGGATCTTCCCCTTGCAGAAAGAAATATACACATCGAAGGTAAGTGAAATAAGCAACGTGGAGGGAAATCGAAGGGTTATATTACTGTCTCTTAGTTTGCAGGGTCATGAGTAAGGGAAACCACATATATAAGTATACTGTGGCCCATCGGGGCGAGATCTTGCAGCAACCGGGGAAACCAACCGATGGCAGGCTATTTAAGTTTTGCCCATAGACAAGTGAACACCTCCTTGAAGACTTGACTTGCATTGCTGGGTGTTTGCGGGTGAGGTTTTACTTGCCCAAACACTTAACAAACAAGGATCAAGCACCCCTTGAATTAACCCAAGCGCTTCTAACAGGAAATTCTCTATTCAAATAACCATGCTGAGCAAAATGCCTGTGATTAAAATAATGGAGAGGTTGAGACTCACAGCCAAAAATAGATAAAATTGCAACTAATCCGCTACGGGAAGCTAAAGAGTCTGGGGCCAATAGAAGTACCAGACCAAGTCCAGACTCAAATTACAACATATGCCCATCGCCATATGCGCGCGCTTTAAAGCTACCCTCATCCTTTAGACTGCTTCATGCTGTCGGTACTTGAAACATGGGGCGAGACATGCGTCAGGAGACAAATATGGCAAGACGTGCTGATTTGCAAGGCTCTTCTTCCCCTTTTCAGGAGGTACAGTACTGCGCCGGCTGGGCGCATCGGAAGCACATCGGCCAGGTACTAGTTTCCAAGCCATCCGGGCAACCTCTGTGGACACATGTAGATCACCTCTTACTGACTGAGTGAGTGCTGTTTTAATGAAACTGAGTGCAGCTGCAGTGGGATGTGCCCCATCGCGACCACGTAATTGCTGCATGGGCCTAGTCTGTCCCCGGAGCCCCTTTCCCTTCGAACAGCTTTACAAAGATCGTTTTTAGTCCAATTGTTTCTTACAGATTTGCCCTTCCTGGAATGATTTAGCAGACCTTACAGAGTACGGAGTATCAGACTTGTACATGGGTGGTGGGACAGTATCCCGATAATTGCCCTTTACTTTTTACTGGGTCGCACAGGTCATCCCCGCCATTTGGGGGCGGACTACTCAAGTAGGCAACAGTAGTAACTAGTTAACTAGTTAACTATACAAAATTAGGTACATGGTACTATCCACTCACATGGATAATATATGCAAATCAACTAGAATCCTGGAGTACACAAGCGCATACAACTTAAGTAGGCACTGCCCTAATATGAAAGTTTTTGGATAGGGGTTTCTAAAATTGATTGACGCAATAAGCAATACATGGTATGGTGCCAGACTCAGCAGGTAAAAGGCCTCCACAGATATGAGGTCTAGGCTCTTATGGTGCTGACATGTTACTAAGAATGAAAGGTACTCTGTACAACTATCTACAGTATGGAGTACACATATTACATTAAGCCTTGGCGATCAATTTAACTGGTACGGTACAACAAAAGTCCCTGGCATGCTTTGTGAGTTTCTGACAAGAATCTAAATTAGCAGACCAAGTGTGTTTGTGATCTGCTCTCTGCATATTAGCCGTGTCTATCATTCAGATTTCTTATTTGAGAGCCCCTTGCTTTGCTACATTGTACAGTCCCGACAACACCCTTTAATGGCCATCGCCTATCTCCTCCCCCCCCTTTTTTTCCCTGCTGGTCTTGCACGAGGTGGGAATACTCCGTTGTCGAGAGGGGGATCATTGCTTCGGCAACTGTCATCCCCAGTTTAGATGAGAAGGCACCAACGAATGATTCGAACTGCATTCCTTGAAGAAGTTAAGCAAGTGAAACGTATGGATCCACTACTCCAAGATAACTATACAACATATGTAGAGCCTTATGCGCTGTCGTATATCAAGCTGCATTACTCCGTACTTCGGAGTAGTACTCCGTATAGACCGGTCAATTGTATCCGTTTACTTCGATGTACACATCCTGTGCATGTCACTGAGAAACGGCCGAGTCGCATGAGGATCGATATTTCTGGGTCTGTGGATATGCGATTGAGTGGCTAAGGTTAATCCCTGGACTTTACAGAGGGCTCTCATTGAACTTATGTTATTGTAAGGGGATGAGGCAAGGGGAGACGGTGAAAATCTCCGAGTCGCAATTGTGTAGAGCAACAGGGATATAATTCGCGGAGGTTGACCTGGAAGATTTACGCGTCCAGTAAAGAGTGGGATTCTCACGGCTAAACCAGTCAATCCTGATAAGTCGAGACGTCTACAAACCTTATCTCGGGTCGAGAAGCTGGGGACAAATCAAGTGCATCTCCAGTGGTGTCACAGGCGGCAGATGCCGTAGGGATGAGTTGTAAATTGATACCCTGTACTCTGTACTCTGTACAAGAAAAACTAAATTTACATATACGCGATCCAAAATAGGAATTAATTAAAGTGATTGTAAAAGAGAAGAAAGAATTGGGCAAAACGTGCCCCAAATTACGAGAACCTGCTTTTGCGACCGAAGACCGAAACTTGAAAAATATCCCCACATGGACTCGCAGGAGACCGAGATCCCTGCAAGACAAAGGAGGCTCGGGTTATCAATTTAGGACAACCCAAGTACACCCCAGCTGAGGTACGCGAATGGGGGAAACACGCGAGATGAAGTCAACACCAGGGCAATCCCAGGCTTCTGGACCAGTCAGCGTCCATAACCCGCAGACCCTGGAACGCGCGACCGTATCGGAGGCTTTGTACGGAGTAAGAGAGCCCAGCCCATTGCAGCACTAGTAACTAAGATGCTGGATGACGAGCCAACAATGGCTGAGGATTGGCCTTAATACTTTGTCGATCAGGAGCTTTTTTCGGGCCCGGAACTCGCGGTTGTTCTTGGCTTCATTTATCTTTCTTTCTTTCTTTTTTTTTATCTTTCTTTTTCTTTTAGAATAGGAAAATGCAATAGAATATCGGAGAATTATAGACATGTACGAAAAAGATGTATTAAGACGAAAATGTAGGAAAATGGGCTTTGAAAAGGTTGAAAAGTCTCGGTAGCGACGGAGATCTCTCCACCGTCGAAGAAACTCCTTCAAATTACTAGTCTAAGAAAATGACTGGGTCGCGGCATACGGTTAAAAACACAATATTCGAGTTTCAAAAGTTATATATGCATTATATGAAATATAGAAATATAGACATATCGGATTTCTAGAGTTCTCGAACATAAATACTACTCATACTCGATAATTTTGGTTATTTTAGTTATTTTAGTTAACAGGTTAGTAAAAAAATTGTATGAATATCCTAATTCGGTATCTCTGTTCCTGTGCCTCTGTACCTTGTGCCTGTTCCCACGTTTGAAACTTCTGAAGTTCTAAATAATAACTACAGTTTCAAGCAGTTTTGCAGGTTTCAACTCCTGTCTTATATCCTTGCAGAGAGAAAAGAAGCCCTAGTTACCTATCAAAATTACCGATCTTCCCCTGGGATACGTAAATTATGGAACAGCCATACTGTAAATTTACTGTACACTGTATGCTAACCTTCAGCCTCCACTTGTCTCGTGGATTACCATACAACCAGCTCTCTCCGTGTGTATCTCCGTGTCTTCTCAGCTTCTTAACCTCTTCCTTTTCCTTCTTTCTCTTCCCACACCCGCCTGGAGAGAGAAAGTCAAAAACCTCCTCCTTGTACCTCTCTCCTTCTCTTCTTCATACCCTTTTCTCTTCCCTTCTTTTTCCCCCCTCTCTCCTCCCCTGCCAATCCTACGGAGACCCCAGAGTCTGGTCTACTGGCTGAGTTACGATTCGACGACATTTCAGTCGACGCAATCTCACACAGCCCGCTGCACTAGCACTCGAGTCGAGTCGATTTCACCTTCGCACTTGACCTTCCAATTCGACGTTTGTTAACTCAAACGGCGATCCTTCGTCCTTGTCCGCCCGGTGCCTCCCTGATCCTCGGACTTTTGACGATTCGGACCCTCCTGTTCCAGCTCCTGCCGGTTAGACGAGCGACAGCGTAGGAAAACCACTCAGGTTGACTTTTTATTGATACGAATTCGTTTTCGGTATCAGATTGACATTGAGCTTCAAACCCTGGGTAAGAAAATTCCTTTTTTTTTTTGTGGTGCTTTTGAGGTGTGCATGGTGTCAAGGTCGGAACGTCCCGATGGATAGACGAGCAAAGGATACTCGAGTTTTCCCAACATGAACCAAGAGATTGAATAAATTTCCACACAAAAAAAAAAATTCCTTCCAGAGTGCATGAAAATTGGCCCACCAGACATAATCATGGCATGGCCTCAGGGCCATATCCAAGCATCCAGCAGCCCCAACCTTATATACCTCCGATTTTGCTTCATTTCCCACCCGAGACAACACACCGAGAGCCAGATGTGGGGAGTAGCAGTTTATTGAGTGATAAAGGTTGCTGTCCATGCAGACGGCACATTATGTTCTCGACTACAATTGTGGAATGCACATCTTTTTGCTTGACATGCAATGTCTCGCCAGGGTCCAACCAGCTCTGTGGATTGCTTCTATATCCCCCCAGGCGTGGGAATATTTAAGGGGTCAATGAAAATCTCATACTCTTATTGGACATACCGGATATCGGGGCGAAAATCAGGCTGTGACACCACATACCTCATTGCACTTAATTGTTGACTGCCATCAATTATTGATTGTTGATTGCCATTGTCTTTCGGATCGTTGACTGCTGCGAATGCAATTGACGAATAGATAACTGACATTGTTGCCTATTTAGGACTTGTTCATCTGAATCTTTGATATAAACCCACTTGTCTCCTCACGTGGACTCCATCCTTGAATCTCTCGCACTTCTCCCATCTAAGAAACTCTTTCAGTCTCTTCACTGAGCCTTGTTCTTTCAACTCGTTAATTCGTGAAGTGTGAGTCCTAACCATTCCGTTACCAAGGCATCCCCCCTGATGATTGTGACCCCCTTCATAGGGTTATTCTCCTGCACTCCACATTCCGCAGCACTAGCCTAGGGGTGAAGACGTTGACTCGTACTTCATCTCTTCGTTGGTATCCAACAGAATCCCAATTCACCGGATCATTCCTGCCTAGATGCCAGTCTTGCCGTCACGGTAAGGGTTGCATTGTGCCCTCTGCCCGAAGGCTCTTTTCTGGGTTAGTACTTCTCCGAAGGAGTGATGACCCTTCCCGTCTCCTGCATGGTTATCGGCACACATCTCTACACTCTACCTTGTTGTGCTTTTCCCATCTCACGCTCTCTTGCTTTCTCGTCACTTAGACGTTACAATCTTTTAATCATTTCTTTTACGTTGGCCTCTGCTAATATTAATTTCCTTCAGCCTTACCTTTGAAGACTTCCTCCCGGCCACCTTTTCCAGCATTCGAACTATTGTTCCACGCTGATCCACTCATTAATCGTTACAACCTTTCCGTCATTCATTCCAATACACTAATACCACGACTGTCGCTCTCTTAATTCCGTCGTTGCCCGATAGACCCGTTCTTCAGGCTTCCTTTCATTGAAACTCGGCAAAACAAACCTCATACATCAACTTGTGCTTCATACTTCGGTCGACCCAAGTACTTTCGCAATCATGGATTACCATCGCAACTACCGGCCTTGTCCCACCTTCTTTGTGGAGGAAGATTACGGCCTGGAAATTCGTATGCGGCAAGAGCGGCAGGCGAAGCAGGAACATGACAAGCAGATGGCTCGTGAGCGTCAGTATGTTATGGCAGATGAGCTGTCCAATCTCACAAGTGAACAGCTTCGGGACGATGTCCTGAGTCACATGTTGGAAATGGATGTGAGTGTTGATCAGATACGTTTCTTTCCCAAGGTTATACACGTTGCTAACCTAATTATCGCATAGAACCAAACCCTGCCCGACGTCGAGTCCATTGACATCCAAACCGAGATCCAGTGGTTCATGCGACCATATCTTCTTGACTTCTTGATCGAGGCCCACACTGCGTTCCAGCTGCTGCCATCCACCTTGTTCTTGGCGATCAACCTTCTAGACCGATACTGCTCCAAGCGTGTGGTCTACAAGCGTCACTACCAGTTGGTTGGCTGTGCAGCTCTACTCATTGCGGCCAAGTACAATGACAAGAAGGATCGTGTTCCCACCATCAAGGAGTTGAAGTCGATGTGCTGTTCTCTTTATGACGACGATATGTTCACTCAGATGGAATGGCATGTCCTCCAAACTCTTGGCTGGTCCATTGGACACCCGACTGTGGATGCTTTCTTGCAGCACGCTGTTCTGGATGATACTTACGACCCCGAGGTGGAACACATGGCTCTGTACATCCTGGAGATTGCCTTGTTCCACCGGGACTTTGTCGCCAAGCTATCATCTGAACTTGCTCGTGCTGCACTCGCGTTGTCCCGCTGCATTCTTAACCGACCGCAGCCTCGTCACACCCACTGGGCATCGCAGTATGACTCGATGACTCTTGTTGCCTTGTCTCAACAGTTGCACCAACCTTCCACCGTCGTCGCCCGCAAGTACGCTTCTGCCCACTACTCTCGGGTCTCGAAGGTCATGGAACACTTCCTCAACCGCCAGGCTTCCTTGGCAACCTACGCCCGTTGCACCCCTCCGGTCGAGACTCCTGTCGAGTCCAAGCCGTACAATGGGGAGATTGGTCTTGCCACCCCTCAGAAGTCTCAGCAGTTGACGGCTATTCCTCATGGTTACCTCACTCCTCCCATTACGCCGGACAACGAGGCACTTGTGCATGCTCATACACAAATGACCAATCACGATATGAACCGTGGAATGCCCACTGTCCACCATGGCTGTTCCCCTTCCCCCGGACCATCCGTTGAGATGCAATACATAAACAGCGAAGCATACCAGCAACAGCATGAGGCTATGTACATGGCTCAGCAAGCAGCGCTCCAGCAGTTCCCTATGGCACCTACCCACATGGGAATGAGCCAGACCTATCAGGGTGGGATGTAAAAGAAACGACGGAACGAACGGCAATCCAAATGATATTTGGTCATTGCACATATTTCCAGCACTTCATTTCATTTCTCTCATCTTCATAGAATGACTCCAAGGAGCATCCGATTCCGCATTGATTCACCTCGATATCTTCATCTTAATACTCAATGCGCCATACCCGCTTGTCGACCTGTGCCATATTCCCCGAATTCGACTGCATCCACTTTCGTCCTTTACGCTTTGCATTCTGCTCTGGTTCCGCGGAATCAGAGTCGAGACCAGCCCTTCACTTCCTGTTCTAAAAATTGCATACCCATTTGCTCCCCATACCCATTAGTCTTGGGTCATCAGTTGCACTTGATTTAACCATCTAGCATTGCGAGCGCGAGCCATGTTGATTTATTTGCTTCTCAAGAATACATTTTCTGCTTTCTACTCCCCGCGACATATTTACTTCTCTTCTATTTGCCAAGGAATACCATGCACCCTTGACACCTTGTATTTCTGCGCGCCAATTGGTGCTGCCTTTCTTGATATCCCCCCCCCAACAACAACCCCTGCCCTCCACGATCCTTAGCAGTATAGCTGCCTTCCCAATCGCGTCTCCGATCCCCAACCCCAACCCCCTACCCCTACCCCAACCCCCTACCCCTTCGCCCTGAAGCCCCCCAAACCCCGTTTTTCATGTGCCTTGTTCCTCGCGTTGACTGTTTTACTCAACGTGCTTGAATCCCCTCCTGTTTGATGATACCCAGTTGTCTTACATGCCAGGAGAGCGGGCTCATAAGAGGTCGCAAAAAAAAAAGCAAAAAAAGTGTGAAAACCCGGAAAAAATTATGTCTTCTGGGGAGCAAAGGCCACCGAGTCCATATTTCGTTGGACTTGTGGTACCTTTTCTTTTCCCTCTGCTCTCCTCTTCCTTTGTATCTAGCCTTTGACACATGCCCTGAATGCTTATCCGTCATCCACTACTGGAGATGGGAAGCAAGGTGCCTTTTTTTCTTTTATCTTGTGTGGATTTGAGAATGGGGTTGTCGGTTTTGCCGCTTGGCTCTGAAATATATCCCATTTTCAGTGAATCTTTCGATGCTGTAGAATTGTAGTCTTTCTTGAGTCTTGTAGAGTACTTTTACTTTTCTTGGATTCGCTGTCCGCGAGCTACTCCACGGTAGCTTTAGCCATAGTCCTATCTCGTCTATGGTCAATTAGTGAGAACAAGATGCAAGATGTCGCCTCTTCCCTCAACCTCAGCTTCGATGTCCATTCCCTTGCTCTGGATATATTGCTCCTGTTAACCCTGCTGTTTGTTGCCCTAGTTTCCACTGATATTCTTGTCACTCAAACAATGTCTTAGGTATTATATTTTATTGTGGTCGAGGTTTGGATGTATGATATATATATATGGACCAACTTTGTCCAAGTCACAACTAACACTAACTATCAAAAGCTATAGTATACTGCTCACTTACCCCCAATATTTACCAATTGTTGCTGCAGCTCGTAAAGAGGAAGAACCAGCATAGCTATGACACTTTCCATTCTAAGCTGGACACTTCTATGGCTGAATTGACCCAATCGTCGTGTATATATATGTAGTTATATCATATTATAAAAGTAAAAGAAGCACAATGAATATGAGATTCGATAATAAAACAATAATATTTCCCTTGAGAATACAATTTCGCTCATTGCGCAATAAATCCAGATCCAGCAGATCCAATAATAATAAGAATAATAAGAATAATACCCACGCTATGCATCGCAACAAACAAATGAAACAGAATAGGGTGTCAGCCCAATTAGCCCTCACATAGCATTGACCATGCAGCTAGCTGCTAGGTAACCATGCCGAGAGACAAACATGTGTAGTTTCAACAGTAACCAGTAGAGTTGGAAGGGTAGAAGGATATAACTAGGAGACCACAAAGAGTGACCCCCTAGCTGAGAGTAGAGAGACAAGAAGAAGCAAAGAGTAAAAACGCCTCCAGAATAATGATACAGGGGGGAGAGAAAGAGTGGAGACGTGAAAATCCGGGGAGACGCAGGGATTCAGGGTGAGGCAATGTAGTCAAAAAAAGGGAAAACGGCACAGAAGCTCCGAGAATGCGAGAAATCCAAAAGAGAATCGAAGGAATCAGACAATTTGATGTCCCAATTTGGTCAGGGGGGAGGAAAAGAGAAAAGGTGTCGGTGACGAGAGGCCGAAAAAAGGGGGATTTTGGCGTCCAATGATCTCCCCAAATCATCTTCGTCGATCATCGCCTCACTTTTCTTTTTTTTTTTTTTTTTTGGTTTCTTTTAGTCTGGATCTCTTTTTTTTTTTTTGTGACCATTTGTAACGCGCGTGTAAAATGAGAATCCACGTCTCGTCTCCTTCGAGTTGAATGAAACCTATGCAGCAATTGAGGTAAACTGCATAAGTAGGCCAATTCGAGTTTTGTAAAAGAGAACAACTACTTCCAGCGTTGTTTGTCCCAGTCAGACGGCCGCGTCTCATCGTATATTCGTCCGCCCTTGTTGTGGACGACCACCGGAGGTTTGCGGACGGGATTGGTTGCTAGGGTGTTGCATTAGCTCGGGCTGAATCTGGAGATCGGGGACAGGGATGTGGTGCACTCGACATACTTAGACTTCGGACTTCGGTGGTGACCACCTGATCGTTGCTGCTGGTTCTGCTTGCCAGTGTGGAATTGGAGTCGTTCACTTTGTGTGGCATTGTGGATGGAAGAATGGAGGAATTGTAGGAATTGGTTTTTGTGGTTTGTGGTTTGAGGTTTGAGGTTGAAGATAGAGGAGGTGAATAAGAAGAGGGAGAGGGATATTAGGGTATTATAAAGAGGCAAAGAGGTAGAAGTAAAGAGGTATAGAGGTAGAAGGTAAAGATGAAGAGATGAAGAGATATGTATAGAAAGCGTCGAAGGTGAGGCACACAAGTGTTGAACTGTGAGCAGAGATTATAACAATAAATAGGATACGAAAAGATAAAAGAGGAAGATAAAAAGATCAAAAGACAAAAAAAGACAATAGTGACGTTGTTGATATGGTTGTATAGTTGTATAGTTTGGATGATAAGTTGATTCGAGGGCAATGACTTCTTTTTGTATAGCAAACCATTCCACATTGAGCTTCACCCCGATCTACACTCTGGGGAACACACGTCGAGCTCTCCTAACTAGTGTCCAAAGAGAACAAGAGCTAATAGCTGGAATGGATCACCCCCTGACGTATTTGGTGCCTGGTAATAACATACGGAGTACTGCTAACATACTATTAACTGGCCATAATTACTGGCCATCATTACTTGCCACGATTGAATTATTGATTGGTCTAGAGGATCAATGGAAAAGTAGGGCAGCCAGTGATGAACGGGGGAACATCTCCAACTTACTAGGGCTTGGGTCCTGTCACGGTAATATTACCATATTACCAATAATGATGAGTCAGCCATTCCTTAAATGTACTTATGTAGTTAGTTACTATTTACAGAATTGAATTGGACTGGTCGTGTAACCAAAAATATATATCACTTAAATATTAAAACAATACTAAAACAATACTAAAACAATAATTAATTTCATGAATGCGTTGGGGAAATACCTTCTTCACCGCTAGGTTGGCTTATGCGCCAATGGCGGCTGTAACCAAGTGCGTGTATATAAGGACATACTATTAGCATATGTACTCGATGTAAATAACCAGGGGGGGGATTCACCGCAATTAGCACTCCACTGTGGTCCAGACATCTTAGGTCTCAATTATTTTTATTCTAACATATGTTGTACTCATTCTTTTCTTTTTCTTTTCTTTTTGGTCAATAGATAGTCAGGCCTAATCCTATTAGGCTCGGAAGATCTACCCGCCCCAATTCATAAAGAGTCACCCATGGGGAAAATATTAATTATGAAACTTAGGTACATATACATCTCCCTACTATCGAGCAATGCATACGGAGTAAACAACTCATAGTCTCGTTGGTAGTGCACGGATGTGCGTCATTCCATCCAGACCGAGATTCTGGCCCTAGAGTCAACCCTTTCCTGGTCAATCACTTTCCAAGCTAAGTATACCCCGGGTGGGCTTCCCCAGCAACGCCTGAACCAGCAATGAGACTGCAAAGCGTGTGTGGATTGCCTGTCCCCCCTTCTGACTTGGTCCCGTGAACATACAACATAGATACCCCATACCGGATACCCATACCGTCATGATTCTAGACTAGCCTCCCCCGAAATCCGGTAAATCGTGTCAGCTCGTCTATCCACCGCCCTCTCGCTTCATCCGATCTTGCCACCCATTCATGCTCCGCCGAATTCCCAACGTCCGTCGCGGTGCTTGTTGAACCATTGACATCGTCGTGTTGTGGAACGTCGTCACCGGCTGGAACCCGCGAGTGGAGCTCTCGGGTTTCACCTCCTCTGCCCCGGCCGTCCAGCCTGCGGATGTACTATTGCTGCTCTGTTCCTGCGTCATCGACATCCTGGCAGGTTTGTTCAGGGTCGGCTTTGATGGGGCTGCCAGCCATGTGTAGCCATTGGGGTTTGTAGGTTCCAGGGTCGGTCGTGTTGGAATAAGTGGCCGTGGCTGAACACGGTGAGAGGAGAGAGTAGGTGGGACGATGCTTGCCCCTGAGCGTTGGTTCTGCGAGGGTAGCCCTTCGTATTTGCGAGATGGTGGTGGCTGTGGATAGCTAGGCAGAACTGGTTCCCTCTTCTGGGGTCCTGGGCCTGCAAAAAAGTTGGATATGCTTGCTTGTGTGAGTCCGTCTTTGCGGCCTGCGTTGCTGAGCGGTTTTGGTTTGTTTGCCCCAGCTGCAGTTGCGTCTGCATCTGATGGAGGCTTTGAGGCTGACTCCGCGGGAGGTTCGGGGTTGGCCGCTATGTAATCCCGGGCAGATGTAAAACCTGATGAAACGGTTGTTGGAATGGTAAACCCTGTTGAGTTGTTCATGGTATACCCGGTCGATGAGACGTAGGCGGTCGTTTTTGGCCCCTGATTCATGTCTGACCGTCGTCGCTTTGGATTAGGCTCATCAGAGGCATCATGAGACGTAGATGTGCCATCCAATTTGCTGCGGTCTTCCTCGCCCTCGGGTGTCCATCGGTCGTCCAGCGTCGATGGAAGAAACTCGAGCCCCTTGTAGATGTCCTCGAGAGATGGCCGAGGGCGACGCAGGATATCGGCAATTGCAAACACTACCTTCTCATGGAGAGACGGTCCCGTTGGCCGAAAGCGCGCTTTGGTCAATTTGGGAGGAAGGAATGGCGTCAAAGTGGTAGCGCCGTCTTCTCCTTCTCCTAGCCGGGGTTGTCGGATAGGAACACTCAGGTATAACAGGGCCTGCGCTCTTGTCATTGCGACATACAATAATCGTCTCTCTTCCTCTACCACCTCCGCACGCGAGTGAGGAATGCTCCCGTTGTATACTGCAGGAACAAACACGACTGGCCACTCCAGACCCTTGGCAGCATGGATGGTTGAAATAGTGACTTTCTCCGGCGGTTGATCCCCCTCCTTGTTTTCTTCTTTGGTTGTGATCTCTGTAGCCAAGGCGACATTTGCCAGGAACCGAGTGAGAGCCTCCTCGCCAGGATGTGCCTGCTGTTGCTGCACACCTTCAATTTCAGGGAGATCCATTTCTTTATCAACCTCCTCCTCTTCAAACGCAGCGACTTCAGTGGCTTGATGCATCAATTCCTTGACATTCGCCCAGCGACTGTCTTCGTCAAGGGGATATGTTCTGATGAGGTACTCCTGAAACGAGAGACGTTCGGCAATGAACTCAATCAGAATACGTGGAGCGGAGGCATCCTCACACTCTTGCAACTTCTGCCTGGAGGCTTCAATCAAATTGACCAAAGCGCAAAGTCCTTGCTCTGCGGCCTTTTGCAGTTTCTTCTCAGTCGAACGGCGCCCTTGAATGACATCTTTGATGAAGTTCCAAAGTGAGATGTTGGCCTTCTCCGCACCGCTAGTCAATTGCTTGATTGTCTCATCGCCAATCCTTCGTGACGGAACATTCACAATATTCATCAACGCGTCCGAATGTCCTGTATGGCTTACAACCCTCATATAATTGAGAAGAATCTTGACTTCAGTCCGGTCAAAGAATTTTCGGCCTCCAACCATCTTGTATGGTATACCTGCTCTTCCAAAGGCCGTCTCGATTTGTGTAGACAGCGAAGCCGACCGAAGCAGGACGGCAAAGTCAGACATGCGCAATAGACCACCGGTCATCGCTGCACATCGCTTGATCTCAAGTACCATCCACTGCGCCTCTGCGTTTGGGGTTGGGAGTCTTCTCAGCACGGGTAAGGTTCCGAAAGAGTGCGTAGCTAGCAGTGCTTTTGCAGGCCGACTTGTATCCTGCTCAATCACTTCCTGGGCTGCATTCAAGATAGAACCCGCAGAGCGGTAATTGTCTTCCAAGAGTACAACCGTAGTGTTTGAATATCGCTGCTGCATCCGTTTGAGATTCTGGATCTCCGCAGAACGAAAGCCGTAGATGCTTTGATCGGGATCACCGACAATGGTGATCCGTCGGTTCTTAGATGCAAAGAGGTTCATTAGTTCATATTGTATGATGTTAGTGTCCTGGAACTCATCAACCAAGACGGCCTGCACATTTGAGACACATTGTGGGTGGTCTCGGAGTAGATCTCCGCATCGCAGAAGGAGGTCATCATAATCCAAGAGATTGGAGGCCGCCAGTGCTGATTCGTAGTCACGATAGATATCAACTAGCTCCAACTCCTCTGCTTTCGCTCTATCGGCTAGGGCATCAGGACTCAGTCCATGTGCTTTATGTCGAGAAATTCGGCCTTGTGCCGCCTTAACTTCAATGCTAGACTTGAGTCGTTTAATTGTTCTCTGCGGTCACAATTAGAGAAGGGAAACAAACTGATACAATATAAAAATGCTAATCATACTCTGATAATTGCGCGGGTATCATCCGAATCCGCAATGCCAAACCCCTTCCGCAGGCCGATCAAATATCCGTACTTGACCAAGTAGCGGCGACAGATGGAATGGAAAGTGCCGAGAATCAAGCGCGATTCGAGTTTTTCTCCGATGAGTTTGGCGAGCCGCTCTCGCATCTCACGGCTGGCTTTGATAGTGAATGTACAGCAGATAACATCTTGCGGCTGGTATCCGTGATGTGAGAGGAGGTACGCGACGCGTGCGGTCAATGTTTTTGTCTTGCCCGAGCCCGGTGGTGCGAGTACTTGCAGGATTGAACCGGATGAAGTGACAGCTTCTCGCTGGGCATGATTCAAGCCATTTAAGATGGGATCCATGACATGTGGGGTGTTTGGCCAATGCTCGGGTGCCTGTGAGGAGGAGACGCGCGAAAACGCGACGTCATGTGACACTTTCTGCTCTATATTGAGGAAGTCGACTGTTTGAAGAATTAATGGAATTTGAAGGTGCTACTTGCCTCTCAATTGTTAAATTAGGATAACTTGGATACGAAATGGCACTGAGGGTGTAATTGTGAGAACCCCCGAAGACCTTCGCAGAGTGGGTGGTTGCGGGCTGAATAGAGGGAGGTTATGGCCAGTCTTGTGGTATACAGACATAGACATACTACTATATCCCTGCTTTTGTCCTTCTCAGTCCTATGGCGCATGCTGATACTAACCTTGAGTGGTCCATTCTGCTATAAAATAAAATTATAATGTTTTTTAATAGCGTGATAGTTACATACAACATACTAAAAAC